CTGCGGGGGATGGGGGTGGGCAGCCGGGACCCCTGCCGGGAGGGAGAAAGGCGAAGGTGCGTGGCAGAGCGGTGTTTACTTCGGGAACACGCTGGAGCGTTTGTTTGTTTGTCCGGGGTCGCTCCCCACAGGGACCCGCGCCGGGCGGGCTGGGCCTGCGGAGAGGGAATTCGGGCCTGGCTCTGGGGAGGGTCAGCAGGGAACCCGACGAGGAATTGCTGTTTGGAGTTTCAGGGTTTTGAAATCTCCGGGGGGGTTATTTGCCTTTCACCTCGTTCAAACGCTCCTCCTAGCTCAGGGGGTGGAAGGAGAGCTTTTTGAATCCAGACCTGGCCCGAGTCCCAGTGGAAACCGCACGCTGGTGAGCAGTTTACAGTCTTAAGACCGTCTGGAGACTGAGCCGGGCTCAGTGGCGCACAGGGCCTGTGCCGTAAGGTCATTCTGCTTGAGCAGCCCCCTGCGAGCTGTGCTCGAGGAACAGAGCGTTGCAGAGAACTGTCTTGGGGTCCACATCCAATTAGGAAGAAAGTTTAAGATCTTGCAGTGGATTACGCGCTTGCTGTTAAATTCACTTACTTGTTTCTCGCTGGAAGGCTGGTGCCTGAATTGTTTTGGACAAAACAGTGTAATTTTTTAATACAGCAGTCACAGCGGCAGCCGTCACTGTGACAACTGCTTGGCTGAGGTCCAAGGAAGGTCCGATGTACTAGAACATCAAGAAAGTTTGTGATTTCTTTTCAGGTCCGTTATTGCTATTAAAGAAAGATAATTTGCCAACTTTGCTACTCTTTCCTATCTCACTGCTTTACAAAGGGGTATTCATTGCAGAGCAGTAACAGAGTCACCAGACTACTTCGCAGCCCTCTGTAAGCATTCAGCCTAAACCCCAAAGTCAGTCCTTAAGCAGTGCAGTTCCAGGAAAGTGTAAGCATTTTCTTAACTGCACAAAAAGCCTCAACCCTTGGCCAATCCCCACAAGGAACTGTGATGAACAAGTACAGGTTATATTGATACCTGGACTTTTTTCCACTGGCACTTGCTCCGCTCCTCAGCTTTCCCAGCTGTTTGGAGTGGAGCACTGAGCTGACACTGGCAAGCAGGGCTCTGGCTGGGCTGGTTTTTATCAACGCTACCTCTGCTTCAGGGAGAAGTCAGGGAAGTTTGCTCTTTCTGCTTATGCTAGCCTCTCTTTGCAGTGTGTTTCCCAGCCTTGGTCCCACGTGCTGGAGGTTAGAGTACTTGTCCAGTCTGTGAGGGCCCGAGTGCGGTTCTCCACTCTGATGGAGTGGAGTCGAGACTGTCACCTGCTTCCTGAGTGCCAGGGAATGAAGTGGGTTTGAAGTGTGGAAGGTTGAGAGCTCTTTCGCTTGGTGTAGTGTAACTCACACACTTAAGGGAACTAGAAATGGAGCGTAGGTCATGGTCTTCTGTGTGTAGGGCCTGGTAAGGTAGCTGTGATGAGGCACTTCTCTAAATGCCTTGTTTATGTGCCCTGTTGCTGTTCAGGTATTAGGAATCTAGCTAGGCATCCAGCAGCTCTAGACTAGATGCCAGCTCTAAACTGTCAAGACATAATCAAGCCTTTATTAACAAGTACATGTTTATGTATCAGGAGAACTTTGTTGCAAGAGACTGAGGTGTCTGGGGATATAGGCATTGCCAGGGCTAGGTGGAAGCTAAGCAGCGGTTTCGAAGACCTGTATTTTGGACTGCGGCACCAGGTTTCTCCTGTGACTCCAGCCCCTAGTAGAGTAATGGCTGTTTGCTACAGGGCCTATTGAAGATACCACCCAATACAAAGGACTTCAGTGAAGAAGGCCAGGGATGTGGTCTCCTCTCTCACTGTTGTACTGTTTGTGCCTCTTCATTGATGCTTTTGGGATTATGGCCAAAGTTTCTACTTTGTGACTCAGTTACGTACTGTGAAGTCTGTGCAAGAATAAATAAGCCTGCCTGTTAACAGATAAAACCTTGGCTTAATGATGAAACACTCTCTTAGTCTGTGACTGTCTTCTTGTTAAATCTGCTTCATTCTTCTGGGACCTATTAGTGATAAGAGTACAGTGTTAGCTTTGTTTCCAGCACCAGGCAAGCTCACATCAGCTGCTGAGTTCATACTATGGCATGTGACTGCACTTGTTAGTGAGATTTGAAGAACAAAGTGTTTCATCCCAGTGCCACCATCTGATGGGCTGACTTCAGCCCCCTGCTGCTGGGGGCACTGACCAGGCCTTACCTGCCCAACAGGTTACGGTCTCGTTTGTTTGGTTTTGATTTTAAAGTTAAGTTTTCAGAGCCAGTAAGATATAAATCCCTGTTACAGTTTAACTGTTGTTTGTAAAATTGGAATGGGTCTTGAAGTCGGTCTGCATTCTCTATAATGGATATATTGTGATTTGGCTAATGGTCAAAACAGAACTAGCTAAATATGGAAGTCAGCAGGCCTGGTGAAATATATGCAGGGATATATATTGCTGTTATAAGCTCGTATTTGTAAAGGCACAGTAGCATGGGGCTCTGAAATGTCATAGTAAGAGAGGTGAAGATAATGCTGGTGTCTCTGGGTTGGTGGTCTTGAGAAGGAACTCATTTGACATAGTACATTTTCAAGTCTGGTATGACATGGATGCTGTCACAAAACCTGACACCTACTGAAGAGATTGCATCACTACTAGGTTGAAAATGTATTTATTCAGGAATACCCTACAATTCTGTTTTGGTTGTAAAACTCATGGGCTCTAATATTTTTAAAGATATGTACTTGATTTAGTAGATGCTTATTACATTCTGTCGTGATTCTTTTTTCAAATTGCTGCATATTCTCCTGGTAGTGTGTACTTTTTTTTTCACTAATCCACAGGAAACGTGGTTGCATCAAGCCCAAGTATTTAGGTCTTGATTGCCCTTCTACTTTCACATTCATCCAACTGTTTTTAGTAGTTTGGAGTGGAACATTTTAAATGCTAAGTTAAAACATGCTTCCTGTAAGATCATCTTCTTGAATTTATCAGGAAACAAGAACGCTGAAATCATGTCGGGGAAACCTAAGCTGCACTATACAAATGGAAGGGGGAAGATGGAGTCGATTCGATGGCTGTTAGCAGCAGCCGGGGTTGAGGTTTGTATCTTTTTTTTTTTTTAATAAGGCGATCAGATTAATCTGTGATTAAAATAAGTGTTCTTGGGAAAGGTTTCCCAAATACATCTGTGCTTAGAGATATGCACAACATCAAATGTTGTGATGCAGAATACTTAGATTCAGTGATGCACTCTCTTATGTTGTATTTATTTGTATTCCTTGAGCAACAGTTGCCCAGTAAAATGATTTTAACATACAAAGAGAATTGTTAAGTGTTGTTTTTGAAACTTACTTTAAGCTGAGGAGATCTTAAATTGTTGCTACAGACCAAAACTGTGTATCTCTGGCTTTTTCTGAATGCTCATTACTTCTCTGTGTCTCATGATTGTTCTCCACTGAAAGACCATGCATACCACATGAAAAACTTAGAACGTTATCTCCAGACAAAGTGCTTTTCATTCTTTTGGTCAGGACCCGAGTAGGATAAATCAGCAAAGTTGCCCTGAAGGCAGTGAGGGAGCTATCTAGATTCACATCAGGTGAAAACCATCCTAAGGCATCTTAATTTCTACATGCAGTTTTTGCTTGAATACGGTACTTTGAAACTGTTTTCTCAGAAACTGTTTATATTGCATTGGAAATAAAAGGCTTTTTTAACAGTGCTCACTTGTGAATGTTGCTGACAGAGAAGCTGCAGAGCACGAGTGCTGAGGAAACAAAGATCTTGCCCTCATTCAAATGTCCTTCTCATTTAAAAAAAAAAAAAAAAAAGCCAGCAGGGGGAAAGAGGGAGATAAATGCTGCGTAACAGAGGCATAACTTACTAAAAATTTCTCAATATTTCACGTGGCATCAGCTGCTTTTAAGTGAACAATGTGGTGTCTGGTAACTGTGCAGGCAAGTAGACTGGTCTTTATAATAAAGGAAGCTGGTTTTGAAGTGTAAAGCATTGTACATTATTGTGGGGCTGGGGACACTATAGTCCTGGGTTATTTGCTGGAGCAGAGATGAAGAATAGGGGGTAGGGAGTCAACACAATCATAAGAAGTATGGGGATTAGTGTGGAGAGGTGGAGTCTAACTTCCAGACTCCCTTCCACTTCCTCATTGCCTTTGCAGTGACACAGCATTGTTTTCTATCTTTGCTTTTCAGTTTGAGGAGGAATTCATAGAAACGAAGGAAGACCTAGAAAAATTACGCAATGGTGAGTCTGTAAACTGCACCCTAAACATAAATTCACACCAGTATAACAATGGGACAACAGGTGACATTTTTGTAAGACCTCCAATACGATGTGACCTGTAAAGAGAAGATTTGAGAGACCTTCTTGCTTGTGAATGCTTTTGTCCCTCAGAATTGGAAATGTCTTGATGTGTTACCAGGTCTCTTTCTCAGATTCAGTGTAGTACTGCAGCAGTCTGAGTAGTTTGCTGCTTTTTCTTCCTTAGATGGAGTCCTCATGTTCCAGCAAGTACCCATGGTGGAGATCGATGGGATGAAGATGGTGCAGACTAGAGCCATCCTCAGCTACATAGCAGCAAAGTACAACCTCTATGGAAAAGACCTGAAGGAGAGAGCCTGGTACAGTAACAGTGCATACTGTCCTTACTAATACTCTTCCATCATTTTTAATATTTATGAGAAGAATATTGCTGTGCAATATCTGCATGTAAAGGTGCATATACATCTGCCAGTGCTTTGTCTCCTTAGATCCAGGGATTGGGTGAATGGACTTTGTGATTGATAAATGATTGTTAATATGGCCCCCTTCAGGCTCATTTGATTTCACAGAGGCCAGAAGTGCATTAAGTTTCTGGGCAACTGCAGGACCTTAATACAATAATAAAGGCTAAGTATGCCTTTTTTTTTCCTCTTTAAACAGGAAAACAGTAGGAAAAACTACAGCTGCCTGAAAAAAAAGAAGTGTCTTTAAGTGTTCTAATTTCCTTTTTTCAAAATGTAAAGAATCTTCCATAGCTGATTTAAAAAAATACATGTTCAGTGGCTTAACGCTACTGAAAGTTAAACCAATATTTTCCTAATATTACTTTACTATGTAAGCTGTGAATACTTTCCATTGTCATAATTAAAGGGCTAATGCAAAAGCAAAGATCCTTGTTTATTCTTTCTTTAAAAAAAAAAAAAAAAAAAGTCATGCAAAAGTTCAGTTAAGTCCTTAACCTAACTGACTACCACTTACTGTAAAGGGTTTATTCTGTGATAATGGAGGGGCAACTCTGGAGATTTTGGGGATTATTATGGACTGGTGTGTCTGAACTGGTAATTGGCAGCCACTTGTTGTCAGGATCCTTTCATGATTAGACCTCAAAACTTTTGTTTTTTCTCTAGCGTGGCTTGTATATGTGGTCTTTTCTCCCACAGCATAGATTAATAGGTTATCAGTGGAAAACAGTGTGAACTCCACTTTCAATACATTAGTTGCAGATTGTTATATACCTTCCTTGTTGCAGACACTGTGAGCCTGTTTATAACCTGTGCTTTGAAAAAAACTGACCTGGAATCAAAGTGGAAGAACAAGAAAACAAACTAGTGTCTTATGTTACATTCACTAATAAGCATTTTACTCAGTGATCACTTCAGCATTGTATTTCAGGAAAATAACCAAAATGGAATATTCAAATGATAAATGTGGAATAAAAATGTTTGTTTCAGGATTGATATGTACGTGGAGGGAACAACAGACCTGATGGGAATGATCATGTATCTGCCTTTTCAGCCAGCTGACACAAAAGAAAAGAATCTTGCCTTAATCATTGAACGAGCTACAACCAGGTACTTTCCTGTTTATGAAAAGGTAAGTGATAAATCAACAGTAGTCCACAAAGACAGTAAAGTGGTACAGGTTCCCCCGCACTCCACTCCACTGGCCCCACGCACCTACTTTCCAGAAGGCAAGTTACAGTACAACTCTGGAACTGTTTGATGGAGCCAGCATTCAGCAAAGTGAAAAGAGGGCCACAAAATAATATTCAGCTGGTTTCAGTACTGAGTATCTTTGCTGTTTTCTTTAAAAGGACTCCTCAAAGAACAGATCCTACTTTTTAAACCTAGCTTAGTGGCTGATAACTCCTAGCATTTTGCATAAATGCACCATTTAAATACCTGTGCCAGCCTTCAGAACTTATTGCCTGGAAGTCTATATACTCTTGCTGTTCAAAGTTAAATATGCTTTATAATTAAGGACCTAATTCTGTGATCTTTCTCAAACCCATTGCTTAAATACATTCTACTTACAGACTATTACTGTCTTTTAATGAATCACTATTTGGGCATCCTTAGGTGTGCACAAAGAGGCTCTGCAAACAGGATGTATCTAGCTTAAAAGCATAAAGCAATCATTTACTGGCTAGCATGCAGTAAAGAGTTAGCCTCTAATGAGCTACAAGGTAAAGCTTTGGTATGCTTGCCACCCCCATAGAGCACATGAAGAGTCTTTCTTGGCTAGGCAAGAGTTGGTTAAGAGGGGACAAGTTGTTCTTTGCTTCTCCCTGGAACATAGCCTGGATGTTACTGAGTTGCCATTTTCTATGAACTTGCTGTTTGTTCTGTTCTGGTTTTCCCTTTAGGATTTTTTTTTTTTTGGTGTTAACATTCTCCTGTTTGAATTGAGCCAGCCGTGATCCTCATCTCACTATCCTACTTCTGTTTGTAACTTTACCTTTTGTACCTTGTATGATTGTACTATACAGACTTTCTCACAGTGCTTTTTCAGAGCGTAGCAGTCTCCTCGGAAGTCTGTGCCAAGGGTACAAAGCTGTCTTGTTCCAGAGCCGAGCAGGGTTTCTAGCTTGAATCCTTGGTTCACAGGCAGCTGAAGTCCATTCAAAAAATACAGGACTTTATGCAATTTCATGTCCCTCTTTGTGAGAGCCTTAAATTGCAGAAGCAAAACGCACAGAGGCTGCCCTGTGAAAAAAAAAAATTGCACATAAACAACATAAGCCAGCACTCCTTTAATCAGAGTTCATATAGATCCACTGCCATACCAATGGAAGGCTGTGCTGAGATTGATTGATTGCACACATTAATCTTTCAAAGATTTGAAGTCTGATAACAGAAGTGTTTCAGTTGTTATAATAATAAAAAAGCAAACTCAGACACTAATATTCTCTGAACTTGTGTCTAGGTGGCATAAACTACTGTTATGATATGTTTTAGTGTGTATGCTCACTGGAGAAGTCCTTAAAATAATCCTTGTTCACTTATGGTAAAGACACAGGTAAACTTTTCCATGATTTTTAGCCTAGTTAATTTTTTTAGAATGATTACTAATTTTCCTTCTGTAGCAGCTGTTTAAGTTGTCCATTGGTTCAGCTTAGCAGACTTTGCAGTCCACGTGTTATGCAATCCTGACAGAAAATACCCCTAGCTACAAGTGTTCTCTTTAAACACATGAGTGTTCACTTTAAACACTCAGGAACCAGATAGAGTGGCAAAAGGTAATATAAAACACTGCAGGCAATCTGGTTCTCATGCTCTGTTGGGGAGTTTCCATATGGCTGTGATAGACAAGCTGTGGTGGACTTTGCTAGAGCAGTATAGGAAGTAACTACATGAAGGTGTCAGCTTTGCCTCTGTCAGGGGTTACTGCCTCTTCTGTAGTAAAATAGATGGGACTGGAGAAGGAATCAGCTTCCAAAGTTACAGACTGATGTCCTGGTTTCAGTGCACATTTGTTAGTTAAGTGTAGCATTAGAGTAGATTAGGCACAGACATGTTTCCTTCTCTTGTTCCTGCTATGAGGGTGATAGTCTTCAGGAAGAAGGCAGGCTGGAGAGCTGGTAACTACTCTGAACCCGTGCTGCAACATTCACCGCAACTTGTCTATTACAACTACTATTAGCTTTGGCAGGCTATGATTCTTCCATCAGCCGTTTGCCATGAAAGAATCCTTCTGTACAGGAAGAAGGGTGGAAAGGCCGTGTTCCTTCATACCTGACCTATTTCAAACTATAATCAGCAATCTCAAATTTTGCTGGAAGATCTGGGAATTCACTTGACTTTTTTTAAAAAAATCAAAGCATGCTACAGGTAAACTGTCCTGACTACCTCTTCCAATGACTTTAGTCCTATTTATTTTGTATGATTTAAGTCTTTCTTGTGGTACTGGACTTGCTACAGCAACCTGGTGCAGTAGGGCAGAGTGCGTGATAGGTCATGCATACTGAAACATGAGTTCTGATTTAATTTTTTGTCATATCTATCACTTTCTAACTTTATGGGTTCTTGCATGGATTTGCTCTGCTGTGTGTTTTTGTAGAAATCTGTCTGTAATGAAATATCTAGGTAAAATCGTTACATCCTGTGTGACTTTTTTTATTTGTTCGTGTTTTGTAGGCCTTAAAAGACCATGGACATGATTATCTTGTTGGCAACAAATTAAGCTGGGCAGATATCCATCTGCTGGAAGCCATTTTAATGGCAGAAGAATGTAAGCCTGATATATTGTCTGCATTCCCTCTGCTACAGGTTAGTAATCATCTGATCTCAATGTGGAATGTAACATAAGAATTTCACTGCCCAGTTTTAAAACCTAATTGATGTTTAAATCTTTTGAGCCATTGTACTACACTACTGACAGTTCTCTGGTCTATTTCTGTTGATTATAACCACCTGAACACAGGCATACTGCCTTGCTCTCAGAGCTGCTGGGTGCTCACTTTTCTCCAGCCTTACTTTTCCCAGCTGTTCTCAGCTGGCAGGAATTCACCAGTTTGGTCCTGTAACTGCTACTTCTATGTCTTCAAACACCACAGTAAGCATCAGGAGGGGAAGTCTGCAGCCTGTTGTGTCTGCAGTTCCTGTCCTTTTATTTTTGCTAGCAAACTTATATTTTGAAGTTTCTAATGTCTTGTCTTCCATGGTGCTTTGCACTGAGGTGTTCCTGTCCTTGCCTCTTTTTTTGCCAAAATACATCTGCGTGATTTGGATTGAGGCTGTGGTTTTTGCTTTTTTCTTTCCTTTTTTCTTCCACCTTTACTAGATGAATCTGAACTCTTTAATTTCTCCCATCCCCATCTGGGAAACTAAGGTAAACTTTATAGCACCAGCATTGCAGATCAGAATATTCACACCTGGATTTTCCAAGAAGACTAGGTGTTGTAGGTGTATTTTTGCTTTTTTTTGTTTTTTAAGTGGAAAATGCCAAGTGCTGAGCTGGCTATAAGGACCTATGACCTCTCTCTGTTTAATAAGTATGTCTGAGAAGTAAAAATCCAAGTCACCTGATTTTTAAGCTGTAACAGATGGAATCATAATTTCCTTATTTTCATTGGCTTTACTGCTGCTTCTTACAGGCTTTTAAAGGAAGAACAAGCAACATTCCAACAATCAAAAAATTCTTGCAGCCTGGCAGCCAGAGGAAGCCACCAACAGATGAGAAGTTTGTTGCCATTGTGAGGAAAATATTCAATATCTAGTTATGAGGCTGTGGAAGATAACACAACTGTAGTATATTACCAGAGCTGTGCCTTATAAGTGTAAACTGCATAGATATATTCTGTAGCTTGTATCCTATAGCCAGTCACATGATAATCGTTGAAACAGAATACACTTTTACATTAGAGTAAAAGGCTAATTTGGACCTGTGAAGTCCAGAAAGTGGTATTTCATGGAGCAGTTGTTACATGAAATAAAATATGCTGATACTTTTGTGTTTGTTTAATTACAGTACATGCCTGGTAGGGTAAAATGTTTCAGCTGTAGCTTCCAGAGTACTGTAGAAAGCCTCCCCCCTCCCCCCCCTTATAAACTGCAGGAGAGAAGAGCCACTCCATAAAAATGGGGAAATCATTTAAATTCAGGCCTAGAATCTTTGGGTTTGCAGTCTCGGTGGTCTTCTAGATCAAAGTTCACTGTTCCCCTGCTCTATTTCACTGCTGTCTCTGTACTTTCAGAGCTGCAGTTTAATAAATAAATAAAAATATTAAAACTCATGATCCTCGTAAGTTTATGGGCAAAAGTAAGAAACTTGGTTAAACCCCACACCGATCTCTTAGAAGCGAGTTTGTTCACTAAAGGTCAAATTACTTGTGTTTAATTAGCCTGATGTGGTTTTCATCCACTGAAAGAACCTATTCCCTTGCTCTTTTGGTGCTTGGCTAGATGGCCACAGTGAGGAAAATGCCACTTGACTGTTTTTTTGTAAGGTTTTACCTTCTCCAGTCACTTCCCAAGTAGTTGTAAAGAGAACTGCACTGGCTGCTTGCATTTTCAGTAAGAGTTAAGTTTTATCTCAACAGTACTTAAAGCATTTACTACTATTTCAGATTCTTTACCCTAATTTCATGGGAACCATCACTGTTCCCTTTAAGAACAGTGCCATAAACTATTCTTCTTCCTTGCAGTTAGCTGTTTTTTTCAGTAGGACTTGAACTGGTTAGGCAGAGAAGATGGTCAAGCCAGTGTATATACAGAATTGCTGCCCAGCAAAGTTAACTCCTTTTCCGACTTGTGCATAAGAAGAGCCACATGATGCATCTCAGAGGTACAAACTGGAAATGCCCTGATCACCTAGGCACTGCCCACATGTGGTCCTAAGAGGTTTACATTAAAATTACCTAGGTAGCTGGAAGCAGTAGTTTGCCAAGTTCCATTGAGCTATACCTCTGTTCCAAGTAAGTGCTACGATTGCTGAGCCATCACAGAGACTGGCACAGGACATCACCTTTGCATTTTGTGAGTCCGCAGTCCCATAGGGCTATGTTGGACTTGCTGAGAACACTGCTTGTTTGGCCTGCTGAGGAACTTCTGCCAAAGCTGCTGGATTACAGTTGGGCTTGGAGGTCACCCCACCCCCATGGGTAATTCAGAGAATGCACAGAAGGCTCAACTCTGGACGTGCTCAAAAATACAACATCTTACTGCATTTAGGATCTGGGGTAGCAGCAACTGCAGGATGGCTTCTGCACTTCAGCATGAGGTTGCGTAAACTTTTCATTGGAGCTTAATCTAAGGCAGGATGCACCTTGTCTACAGTACAAATATCCAAACTGGCGTTGGGCACCCAAGGCTGTTATGGTACGTGGCAGTTCCAATTCCTCTGATGTGCCCTGAAGTTCTACTTCAGGATGAAAGGAACCACGTGTCCAGCTGTCATCCCAATCTGAAATCTGTAACATACCAGCTCAATCACCTGTAAGCCTGGCAACACCTGGAGGTGACTGATGCCAACATTTGTTAGCAAAAGATTCCAGAGCTGGAGGCTGTGGTTTAGTGGATGGGGTGGGAGGGTTTTTTGCCTTTTGTTTTTGTTTGTTTTGGTCAGTTGTGCCTTAGACATCTGAACTGCTCACAACACCTTGTCACCACCTAAGCCCCTGCCAAGAGTAATAAGCTTGGTATTCCACTGACAGATTTGCACAGCACTGAGATCTGATATTTGATAGCCTTTATAAGCAAGCCCTGTATGAAAAAAATTAAAAGAAGAAAAATTTCTCTTTGTCTTCAACAGTGCACTCACCCATACTGTTTCCTAATGATCTGGCTGCACAGTCTTGTGCACGAGAAGAGTCTTAGCCAAGCTTTGAGACTGAGGGAGTATTTTCTCTGCAAACCAAAGCAACTTCAACCCCTGAATAGTTTATGCCTGAATAGTCTCCTTTGCTTATGAGGAGGACTTCAGCAAGATAATCTGTGTGAGTCCACAACACCAAACCTGTTAAGAGAGTATTGAGACTGAGTTTAGAACCTGTTTGTGCAAGACGGTGAACCTTCCTCAGCTGTGGTTCATGGCAGTGGGAATTTACAGCATGGCACATGTTTTAAACCAGTACTAAGTACAAAGCAGAGGACCAGACTCTTCCATTGACAAAATGGCTCACTAGTCTGCATAAAAAAACTGAGCAGTTTTGAACATTTTACATTTTATTTGAACACTGATACCAGTTTTTACATTTAGAACCAGTGGAACAAGAACATATGTTTGAAAGGAAGGTGGGTTTTCTAGTGCAACAGAGTACAGGCCCGCACCTTTAATGGTTAGTAATTGTCAATATGATTAGAATCAATTACTTAATCTCAGAAGCTACAAAATTATGATTCAATATAATCTACCTTTTAGCATAAACATGTATTTATATATATTCTTCTCTCAGAGATACAGCGCAAGACTAACTCAATTTCTTGGGGCGCTCAGCACCCCTGAAACAGATCAAACTTACAGAGAAAGATCCCTTGAGTTAACAGACTGCTTAAACAAAGTAGATCAAAATATATCATCCACAAAACGCTTTAGTTTAGTTTAAAAAAAAAAGCTTGCAAAATATCAGCATATATCAATAATCAAATAACAGGTACAGATCTTTTACAGGAAAGATAAATGCAATGTAAGACGTGTTCAAACTTGTCTTTCAAGTATGGAGAGCTTGCCTGTTTGTTCGGTGGGCATGGCAGTCATACTTTGGTTCTTAAGTTGCTAAATTCTCCTACAGCAGCATAAAAACAAGCCTCAAAATCATCAAAAGGCTGCAAAAAAACCCAGAACAAAACCCATAAATATGGTTGTGCATGAACAAAACCAGTGAAAGTCATCATTAAATAACAGCGCATTCATAAATACCTGATACTAGAGCCTCTAGTAAGCAATCTTAAAATGTCTAAATCTACAGCCTCAGTGTCTGTTAAACCACACAGTCCACCTAGGCTTGAAAAGTGATCCAGAATGGAAAATAACATTTTCCAGCTTAAGTCCTGATTCTTAAACTTTGCATCTTGACAATTTGCATCTGATTTTTTTCTTCCCTATATGTAACTGGAGTAAAACAGTTAATGGTGTTATATTAAATCTGGTAACAACAAAGCAACAGTTATTCCTTCAGAAGATGTGAGATTTTCACTTACAGTTGAAAAATGTTTTGAGTTACAGACTCACTGGGGAAAAAAAATAATTTCAATTTACTCCATAATTTAATTCCAAAATATAAAGTACAGAAAATTATGTTTTCTAGAATGACAAAACAAGTAGCGGCAATAAAGCAGTCAGAATGGTTAGAAACATCATAATCTGCAGTAATACTGACCAAAGTTTTTAGGTCAGGTCAAAAATGTCCTAGTTTTCTAAGATGCTGTGCTTCCAGTAGTTTTGAATGCAGCACTTCTAAACCAAAGTGTTGGTGTTTTTTAAGATGACTGTGTTGTATGAAATTAGATGACTAATTTTATGCATGTGTTTGAAAACACTGAGGCTTACCTCAGGTTCTTCCAACAGCCTTATCAATATGCATTAATATTTAATTGCAGATCTCTCCTTTCTGTGCTGAGAAAGTCAGTCCATTATCAGATGTATCCGCCTAGTGAGATGAAAAAGCTGTTCACTGGAAACAGGACTGTGACCTCCAAACTAATTTCACTTAAACCATACAGTTGCTGGATGATAGTAACTTCCACTGATACTGGCTTGAATCAGATGTCAAACGGCAACTATTTGAAAATCAGTGAAATCTTTACATTAAGATCCTCAATATATGTTTACCTCAGGCATGCTACTAGTCCGGCTGGCATTAATTTCTTGGACCTCTTGAACCTCATTCCCATTATAATGGTCAAAAGAAAAGCTGAAACTGTAAAAGACAATTCAACATATTTATGTTCTCACTTCTCCCAGTGGACCATTCAGGAACATGGAAAGTTATCAAAGATCATTGCTATTTTTGCTATGACTTGTAATTTAATAAAACATTAGATCAGAGATAGGGTCTATAAAAACACCCTTGCTCTTCCAAAATACACTGCTATGATTTCTTTCAGTTACAAGTAAGGTTTCCACATGCATCAGAGTGCTAAATCCTATTCCACAGATACTAAGTAAGTTTGTCAGACAGTGAATTCTACTCCCCCATATCTACATTCATGGTGATACAAATAAAGTAGGAAGAATCTTCACTGTAACAGTAACATATATTCTGAATTACAGGAATAGTCTCATAAATCCCACCACCCAGATGTTTTCTAACTATTCAAGGGGCTAGAGCACTCAACTTTATCTGTTTTCTTTTGAGAACACTAGGTCTTTATTTGCTGAGCCTTAAAAACCAGATTGGAAGGTTTGCCACTTGCTTTTGCTACAGAATATGGCTATCAACATCTCCTTCATCATAACCACAAGTTCCCTTGCTTCCTTTTGCTACAAAGGAACCATCCTTGTCTGTGACAAGAAGTGGGCGGCCCAAGAGGGCAACAAATGCAGAGCAAGCAGCAGAGAATAAACATCATGAAAGGAATTGCATCTTCTTCCTGGAACAGTTTTACCTAAAAATGGAGGTAGCAATGAACTCATCAGGCACGGGGATTTCATATCGAACTATGGCTGCAGAGTGCTACATAAATAAGAAGACTGATGAGAATACATAAAACTGCAAAGACAGCTAGCGTCATTAAAAAACTGTCCCCTGAAACGCTTCCTAGAAGTGGGCAGAGAGGCAGGACTTCTCATGGGCAGCTGTGCTTTATCAGTCTTGCAGCCAGAGTAATGGCAGTTACACAAATCTCTTCCCTTTTTTATGGAGCAGTTAAACCATCTGGCTAATTCTCTTCAAACTCCACTGTCTACTCCTGTGGATAGTCCTGTGCTCACAGGTGTCAAGAATTAGTTTTAAACTCACTCCAGCATTATAAAACAAGCTCTGACAGTTATAAGCATCTTACAAAACTCTACCAGCTATGCATGTGCACTCATTAAAGATACCCTGCAAAAAAAAAAAAAAAAAAAAAAACCCCCATTATCCATTGCTCTTATTTTCTAGTCTCATAGACTTGATCCTCTCAAGAATGTCTGAAGAGTGGGCTATCCCACAGTATGTGTCTTGCCAGAGCCCTGAGTGTATTTACAGTTAAGTACAAGCTACAAAGCATGTTCACTCTATAATGTTGTTCTTTCCATTTACTAGTATCTGGCTTTTCACATGTGCCAGTGAGTTTTTAAGATGTTCAACTTTTAGACCCGATTTTCAAAAGTGCTAGATATTCACAGTTTCACCTTAAATCAGCCAAAGAAATTCAATAAATGAAGCCAAATTTAATTCAGTAAATCAGATTCAGATCAGAAATTCAATAAATCAGGTGCATTGACTTGCACTTTGAATAACACAAACTGTTGCACACTGAAGTCTGAATTCCTACGCCTACTCCAAACACATAAAATTTTATTAAAGTGTTCAAGAAAGCACAGAGTTAATTTCAGGGGGAGTGGGAAAATGCCTGAAAGAATAATTTATTAAACAACTAAGAAAATTTGCCTGGAGTATCTGTATGCTACGTACTCTTTGCATGTAGGACAAGTTACAAGAACCCTACTATCAAGGTCTTGTACTAAAACATTACCTACATTATTGTAGGAGACTCTTGCATAGGTGACAAATACTATAGATAATTATGGGTTTGGAGGGGGATTTTTTTTATTTTTTATTGAATCTCCTAGCCTTTTAAAGGTTTGGGTACTTGCTTCATTTTACGTTGCAATTTACTCTACTGGTTTCTAAGTTCAGAGCGGTCACTTTCTTCCATGCCCTTAATTTCCTTCTTTCATTTGTGCTCTAGTTGCTTTTGGCACTCCAGGAGGTTAGGCCTAAGTGAAAACATTCTGATTTTCTACAAAAGCAATACACCTTTATTTCAGAAAGCCCTTATTATTCTGAAAATAGCAGATACAGTAGCCACCAACAATTTTTAAGGTGTGGACCTGTATATGTTTCCAAGTGTGTCTAATTCTCCCTTCCTCTGAAGTCTTTGTACTGAGTTCTTTATTCATTTGAGATACCTACGTATATAGAAGCCAGAAGACACCCTTTTCCAGAATGAGATACATCAGCCTGGAAGAGATTAAAACCAGTCTGAATGGTTGCCCCGGCAGAGTACTTTGTTTCAATACTTCCTAACTCACTTCAGGCAAAAATTACCACAGTTAGTTCAGACCACCTTCTTTGTTTCATTCAGTGCAGGTGGACCTTGAAGAGGCCACCCATTCATAGCCAAGGTTAAATATATGTTTATATTTTAAGCAATTAAAACATTACTTTGTAAACATTCTAAACTAAGACTGCTTTGAAAAGTCTTTGTTCCTTTTACTCCACGTAATAAGAACTTTCCAAAGAAGGTGTAGTGAACTCTCTCTCATCTGTATCGCTATAATGTCTATTAAATCAGTAATATATGTTTCTCCAGTTGAGAGAAAGTCCTCACCTGCCTGAAATGCACAACACTGACAATATTTTAGTTTATCTGACATTCACAAGCAGATTAGCGGAAATTTTGTATTAGTCCTTTCAAACCCAGCGAACTGGGAAACAGGCAACATTTAGTAAGTTTTAATTAGTCTTCTCTTCCACAAATTCTGTATCCAAATCAGTGATTTAATTGGCCCATAAAAGTACGATACCAAATGCTACTTACTTAAAAGCACCTCATGCTGAATGATTACAAATTTACATGTATGTTAAGGCTATGTCTTCATTCCAAAAAAAGGTTTGGTTTTGTTTTTAACAGCGGGATAACTTAATCTGAGCAAGGTCATGGTGGCAAAACAGAAATATCCCATTTCAGGCCATCTAGGAGCAGATCAGGTATGTCATTACCACCTTTACTAAAGAACTCAGTTGGTGGGAACATACTTTGCTAACAATGCTATTCAACATTTTTCTGAAATGGAAATTTTTACAACTGTGGCTCATGTAAAGCACAAAGCCAGCACGAACAGTATACCATAAATTCTAAGTTCAGAAAAAGTGATTGTGTACTCACATTATCTGGAAAAAATGTATTTTAAATGCATTTCTGCATGTGAAACCACTGCCTAAGACACCTTTGCTAAAACCACGAGTGAGACAAGCTCCCAATAGCTCTTACCGCAAATCAGTTGTGATGTCCCCCTTAAGAGACTGTAGTCCCTTGCCTCCCTGAGGGTTTCATGGCAAACTAGCTAACGGGACAATTTTTGCATAGTTTGTATCCTGTCTCTTAGCAGCAAAGGAAAAAACACCAAGTCAAACTATTTTTTTCATTGGGAGCCGAGGATACATTACATTATGCAAGACTGGATCCCACACCTACTTTACTTCTCAAATTACATTCTAATCTGTAGCGCTAATGATTTTATTCCAGTACTCTCCCATGTTTCTCAGCTGGATTTCACAATACTTGCAATGTTAGGTAACCATCTAATAAAAGGAGGCACTGCCAGGTGGTAACACACACCTGCTGGCTTTGTGTGAAAGATCTTACCTTGCAAATGGTTCCACAGGTAAGCTTTTTTATTTTGCAAGCTAAGTTGAAGTGTCAAACTCTAAAAACTAACATTTAAACCAAAGCAATACTCAAAATTTAACAGAAGAGAGAATTTTTAAAAAGCGGTTTCCTGAACTGCATGTGGTTTGGGTTTTTTTGTTCCTTTGATTACTGTAGTAAAACACTTACACAACGATATCTTCACATTTCTTGGATCACGTGTTACACAGTAAGCTCCATAACCAGCCACAGAACCAAAGGTGAGACCAGCAGCTAAAGAGATTTTACTACCTGCAAGAAACGATTCAAGTGTTATTTCTCAATACAATGTCTTTAAGCTCAAACTTTACACAGTAGTTCTCTCTCTACACATTATCCAAATATTTTAGAAATAGAATCAATTTTGCCACAGTGCACCTCACTTAACCAGCGTGAACAGAGAGGTAATACTTCTGTAACTGGGTCATTCTCTTGCATGGCATTAGGGGCAAAGTTGACTGAATTAGAGGGAGATGATCAGGATCTAGTAATACTTGCAATGTGGGAAAAACAATCTTTGAAGCACAAACCTAAATTTGGCTATTTTCTCTACCATACATAACTTTAGAAGCATTTTTGTAATTTATCTGGACTGTCTGTTGATTTTAACTATATCTTACAGCACTTGGGAGTCTCCAAAAATGGTAGAAAAGTGTCAATTATATATAAAGGGTAAACTGGACAACACATGTAGTCATAAGCCCTTCAGTCTGATATCAGTCCTGGACAAAGAAATGGTATCACCAACATTACATTTAATTAATAAAAAATAAAAAACAATTAGATGGCAATGAGGATGAAAATACGGCTTTTAAAAGTAACTCAACATCTTCTTTCAGTGCCATTACAAAACTGGTTTGTAAAGTCCACAGTTTCAGTAATGTACTTAGGTTTCTGAATAGGCATTAGACTCGGTAACATATGATAAAAGCATAGAATCATCACAGCAGGCACTATCTGTATTAAGTTCATCCCCAAACATTTATAATTAAAGAATTCAGACCCCCAGATGTAGTTTAGCTCCCAGGCCTGTTATATTGAGTATTTTTAATCAAGAATTTGCAAGAAAACAGAAATCATTACCAACAAAAAAAAAAATAATCTAGATTTGCCACAAGGACTGACCAACTACTAAGGAGCGAAGAGAACAAGTGAATGGGACGGTCAGCAAGTGCAGCTGGGTGCAAACAAAAAATACAGGAAGCATTTTCAGAAAGTCAGATATAAAGCCATGTGTTTAAGAGCAAAGCATGTGCACGCTACGCAGGGCAACAGTGACCCTGAATCACAAGAATCGGGATGGATAATGGCCACAGCGAAGAAGATTGATGCGCTGCTGGGACATGCACTTTGTGGGAGAGCGAAGGGGGAGCAGCCCAGAGATCCCTCCTGCCCGTCCTTGGTACCACTGCGACCTCTGCCGGGATGCTGTCCTTGGCTCGGGCAGGGCTCTGCCAGCTGGAAAGGACTACAAAAATGACTGAAATATGGAAAATGCGCTTTTTAGTACACGATAACCTGAAACCTGGCTGATTATCTTAGGGTGAAAATGCACAATTCTAACAGGATGAGATAATTAACCACCCAATCAGAATACGCAGGTAAAGCGTTTTCTTTCCAGTGTGCACCTGGAAATCTCAGAATCAAGCCTGGATGCCTCTGTAAAAAATAAGCTTTAATCAAAGATCATCTACTGTGGTCAACACAGGAATGATTAAAGGAAATGAGAAGGCCCAAAATATACTTAAGGTCAAAGATAACATGACAGCCCCTTTTGCCCTGAAAACAAACTCATCAGTTGGATTAACAGAAAAAAGTGACCACTGAAATGCTTCAATTGACCCAAGTAAATCTCATGAGACTCAGCTCCTTTATAGGAGTGCACGATAGATTTAAGATGCAGTCGTGTTCATTATAGCAAAGTTTTCATGTCTCGCATCAATTTTCTTTTTCACAAAGCATAGCGGACAGGAAACTTAAGTGCCTCATTTCCATATCCTGCTGTCCCACTATTCACCTTTACGAGTGTATCCTACAACACCTCCAACAGCCAGCAATGCAGCATATGCAAAACCAATCCAGTCAATAGCCATGGTCCCAACTCTGGAGAAGAAAACATATTGCAACTGAAGACAAGTCAGTTCCTTCCTCCTGGTAAAAAAAAAATCATTACTGAAAGTGTTCTAAATAACACCACACTCTCCTAAGTCGTGTTTGACTGCTGTGCCAAAATATTCAAAAGGCAGAGGTCTGTCTGTTGGCTATTGTATCATCTTTTCACTACCTGCTGCCCTTCCTTAGGCCTCCATATCTCGGTATACTGTATTTCCATTAGGGGAAATCGGTATTTTTGGGATGTATGTGGCATGCATTTTTCCCAGTCAAAAATAGATGTGTGCAAGCAAAAAGCTTGACACCACCCAAAGCACCAGTTTTGTTGCACTCGTGCCATATAGCTGATCTGGGCATACGCTATGGATACCTACAGGTCTTCTGAGGGCACAGCTTAGCGCTCTGCTCTTTCAACCAGACCGTGCTTGGTGTACTTCAACCGGAATGTCCCAGGCCCTGCAACACCAGGCAAAAATATGAATTTTCAGAGTCCACCCAAAGTTTCCAGACACAAACCTAGGCCATCTTCAGGAAGCTGTGCATCCAGAAGCGTTACCCTACCTCTGCCTATACCCCTTTTGTTTCACCTTTAGATTTCGATGCATTGTCCGAAGTTAGGCTTCTGTCCTCCGAAACCCACTTAAGTTACTGTTGCAGTACTGACCCCTACCTCCCCAGCTGTGCTTTGTCAGGGCACGAGCGGTGGTGGTTTGCAGCGCACAGCCCCAGCAGCGCACAGCCCCAGCAGCACTATGGCCTCCCTCCCAATCCCAGCTGGCGGGATACACCTTTCCCCTCCTTCTCCCGAAGTCTGTATTAATTAAGTGCATCCTCCTTTTCACCCGCGCGGCTGTGTCCTCGACCACCGTGTTAGAGGGGTGGCCGGAACGAGCGCACTCTCGCCATTTCGCGTCAAGCCTTTAACATCAAAGCGAGCGACTCAGAGCGAGCCCCCACCGCCCCCCCTCCAGCTGTAAACCCCTCAGGAACACAGGTGGGTTTAGGGGCCCACGAACACGAGGCCTGCAGAGGCAGGGGCACGGCTCAAAGCCCGGCCTTTGATCCACCCAGCCTTCGTGGCCTAGGCAGGCCGAGGCCGACGCCGAGGCTCGGCCGCTCTCCCTCGGCTGGGGACTTCCACCTCCCGCCCCC